GAGTACTGACTTTGAGACCTGCTGGTGATCGAACTCTCGATAAAGCCACGTAAAGCTGTTCATGGCTAAATACATTCTCAGGGAGATATACTCCTATGTTAAATGGCTGCCTCTGTGATTTGCTGAAATTGCAAATGCAACGCGGAAACTGCCCTCATTTTAGCCGGAATGGTAGGTGCTTTTCACAATAGTTGTCAATCTTGGGTATACACCGTGGGTTGACCATTGCGGTTGGTGCACATGCAACGACATCCTAAGACAAATCGACCCAAATTTTCAACCTTCAGTCTTGTTCCATTGCAGAGCCCATTGGTGACATCCAGGTTACATCAGCATTAGAATGATGAGTGCAGTTTTTTTCAGTCTCAGTTCATGCGGGGGGCATACCTGGTAGATCAAGATGTTCACATATTCTACGTTATAGAGTCCGGAAATATCCCTGTTGTTGAACAGTTTCATCTACGCAATTGTAGAGTATTTCGTCTTCCTCACACCCTATGCGAAGTCGTTGCATAGCTTCCTCGCTGAGCATTCCTAGCATGCACATTCTTCGGAGTAAGATTTGCACCCTCGCAAAGTGTATCTTGTGGGTCAATCACATCACCAAGGACCTCCGTGACGATGTTTCCGATGCGTAATAGGTTTTTCTTCAAGGTTACACGTCTTTTTCATTGCAGTTAACCGCTTCCTAATTCCACGAGAAAATTATGCCAATCAAGTCCTGCATCCCGAGGCCGCATATTGTCCTGAAGTCGGTGAATCTTGAGTAACGACCGCAGCGTTGATTTGGTAATGCATGCTTCCAGCACGTCTTCTCGTCTGCCATGTTTAATGACAGGGAACACTTGACGGAAGCTTCACCTATAATAGTAAGTTTTCTCCAAACGGCCTGTCGTTTTGCATGATGTCTTTAAGGAGAGCATCAACGGCCTCTATTGAGCACTTTGGCGCCATGGAAATTTCATCCCAAATGATGACGTCCGCCCTTGTAAGCTCACGGGCTTCTCTTTGCTGTCTTCTCATCAATGAAGAGCGGTTAGCCATGTTGAGCTTGAGTAACCTCTTTTTCCGCTTTTTTTGAAAACCATCCTAATCTTATTTGCAGACCTGTTCTCAAGCTGTGCTGCGTCTTCTCCAGCTCTTTCTACCTCG